CCAGAGCTCTCTTTTCAGCAGCTGTCATTCTAGTCCGTTGTGAGGTGAGGGAAAGAAGAATAGACAGTGGCAGTCTGGCAACTCTCAACAAAATCCTATTATCTATCTTTACACCAGCTCTTTGTTAAGAGAGTCAGGGATAGCTCCTGGTGGGGGGTGGGGGGTGGAATCCAGAGCCTGCTTTGAGCTGGTGTAGGGGGGTCAAGTCTGAAAGTCCTAGTTTAACCTTCCAGATACAGAGAACTGAATTGTAGTCAGGCATAACAACAGTTCTTCATAAAACAAGCATTGCTTTCCTGAGTCATCTCAAGATCGAGCATAGTTTCCCACATCACCCTCTCGGATACGAAAATGATTACCATTCCCCTGTCATTTGTCCCCAAAACTATACTGCCAGTGAACAAGCAGCCTCCATTTAGCCTTCATGGCTAATCGCTGCCAACAGACGTCTTGACCCTCCATTAGTTTGTCAGCTTCCCCCCAGCCCTTACAAAGCATCTAAGGCCATGGCCACAACCACATCATGTGGTAGTGGATTCTTTAACCCTGTGTATTTTACAGTAGTACTTCTTAGCACATTACCAAGGAATCTCAGGCTGGCAAACATGGTTCCCCTTCTCCTCCATTTTCTCCTCAGAACAGCCCTCCTGTGAGGGAAGCTGGGTCCAGAGGCAGTGAATAGTTCTAGGTCACCCAGTAAGTTTCAGGGGTAGGCTCTTCTCCTTGGGTCTCAAATTCCCTATTCTGTGCTACTGCCAATCGATTGAGTGACAACCCCCCCCCCAAGCTGTAGTTATTATGAAACAGGCAGAAATATTTCTCTATACGACTCCTGACTTTATAAACCTCCCTCATGTCCTCCCGTTTGAGGAATTTTCATTTTTCTAAATTAAAGCGTGCTTCAGCCTTTCCCTCCTCAGGAAGACATTCCAACCCCTTGATAATTCCAGTTTTCCTTTTCTGCACTTTCCCCATCTCTAGGGTGTGTTTTCTGAGACAACGTAAGCAGAACCATACATGGTATTTAAAATATAAACCTGGACAAATCACACTAAGCTTCAAAACATTTCCAAGATTTGAGAAACCCGAATTTAGCAATGGTAAAGTAGAGGGGGGAAACCGAGACCTGTCAAGCAAAGGGTGAGGAGCCACAGGCGATGAAAAGAATCCAGGGATGATTTCTTTCTTTACTGTGCTAGGTACAGTCCCACAATTTGAAGGTAACGTATGCAAAGGGTTTTAAGAACTTCACTTATCCTAAAATTTAAGCCTGTTTTAGAGCTGGATAAACTGAGGCTGTCCGGCAAGCAAGGAATGCAACATGCCGGTGGCAGATAGAAAAAGGACATCAGCTGTTGTTGTTTTTCTTCCCCTCCACTCCGACCACTAAAGTTCCAGCTTCCTAAGGGCTTTTGCTGGAGCAGGGCAATACCCGTTTGGGGGGTCCAGGACACCCGCTATTTCTTAAACGGAGAGATCAAGTCCTACATACATAACTGCTTGAAGTCACCCTCCTTTTACGGGGAAGCTTGTAAGTTGGTTTTGAAAAAAAGAATATATATATTTTTAAAACATCGAAACAGCTGGCAAGCACAGGAAGGAAAAGAAAGCCACCACCCAAGAGAAGGCAAAACAGACCAGAAAAACAAGGCGGTCAGCTGCTTGCATTCGAGTCATTACCTGTTGCAGAGAGAAGACGGGAGGCGGAGGGGGGTGGGCTGCAGCCCCCCAAATAAATTGCTACCACTTCACCATGTCTGGACAGATCACAGAGCGTTGCTCAGACTGTAAGGAGGTCTCCAAGTTAGTTCAGTGTTTATCTTCCCCCCCTCCCTTAATTTCCCCCCCTCATCTAAGCTACATTCCTTGGCAATGGTGGTAGAGAGGCGCCAAGACACCCTCCCCTGTTGGCTGGAGTTTATTGGCGGAAGGGGAAGAAGCGGGCCTCTTTCGATGCTGAAGCCACGATCAGGAGCCAGGAACGCAATAAAGAAGACTCTTTTATGCTCAGAATAACTCATTATTCCTCCCCCCCACCAACCCAAAGACAAAAACTGAACATGGCTTTTTAAACAGGAGATCTGCAGTATGTGGAGCCGGGGAAGAAAAACCCTCAGCAAGTTCTTGGAGCTGTGGTGGAGGGGGCATAGTTTGGAAGGGTGAAAGTTTCAAACTAATGTATGCCTTTATAAAATTCACTTTGAATTAAAAAAAAAAGTGTTCATGTAAATGTAAAAAAAAAAGTAAAATGTTGACAAAAATGAGATCCTGTTAAGTATTAACCTCAGCTTCAAAAATCCCATCTACTTTCACAAGGGCACCTTCTCTTCCGTGTAAGGGAGAGCCACTCATAGGGTTGCCAACCTACAGGTGGGGCCTGGAGATCTCCTGGAATTACAACTGTTCTCTAGAGACTGTAGAGATCAGTTTCCCTGGAGAAAATGGCAGCTTTGAAGTTCAGACTCTTAAGGTATTATACCATGTTGAGCTTCCTCCCCTCCCCAAACTCTGCCTTCCCCTTTTAGAGCCAGTATAGTGGTTAAGAGTGATTAGTACTGTCAAGACATGTGTTCAGATTTCCTGTCCACTATGACGGACCCTGGCTGATCTTGAGTGTTCTGTGGCCCTCTCTGTCATCTCACAGGGTTTTGGTGAGGATAAAATGGGGAGGGGGGAACAATGGATGCTATGCTTGAGGGAAGGGTTGGACAAAAATGATCTTTAAAAACATGCAAGTAACTCCAAGTGTCCTAGGAGGGTTCCAGGACCTCAAGTAGTAGCTGTCAATAAACTACTTCATACAAGAGGGAAATTTCAAAAGCAGTTTTGGCCTGTCCACATATATTTATTTGTACTGTCCACCTATATTTATTTAGACTATTTCTATGCTGCCTCTTCAGAAGAGTTGGGTTTTATACCCACCTTTTCTCTACCTTAAGGAGTCTCAAAGTAGCTTACGATTGCCTTCCCTTCCTCTCCCCACAATAGGCACCTTGTGAGGTTGGTGGAGCTGAGAGAGTTCTGAGAGAACTGTGACTGGCCCAAGGTCACGCAGCAGGCTTCATGTGGAGGAGTGGAGAATCAAACCTGGTCGTCCAGATTAGAGTCCGCTTCTCTTAACCACTACACCATACTGCTCATGGCGGATTACAATTAATGACATGGCATACTGAGCCCCCCTCCCCCGAAAATGGGAATGACAAGCCACCTCACAATTTATTTATTTTTTGTAATGGAAACAGTTAAGGGTTCTTTCAAAATGCTATTCACTAAGAAAGATGAGCAGGCACCTGGAGGGGAAACTGAGGCAGACAGAGAATCTGGAACATAGCTCCAATTCAGAATCCACCACAAGATCCCCACAAAAGAGGAGAGTGGAAGGGGATTTTTGGCAGTCTTTGTGGGCACAGAAGCTAGACTATGATTCTAAAGGTGTTTTTGAGGGAGCAAGACGTACTGAATTCAGGAGGTACTACTGTGTGTTAACATGCAGTACTTGGGATTTTTTGACTGCATGCGATTGAAGGACATTACGGACAGCTTCTGAGATAACATCACAAGATTTCCTCTCAAAGGCATACCTCTGCTCAAGCTCAGAACTGCTGCAAAGAGGCCTCCAAACTCCCATGCAAGCATTGGAAGGTTAATATAATCTGGATTTTGCAAAAAGAAATAGCCTATTCTTGATGCAATTTCTGTTGGCAGAGTTTTAAATGTGCAGTAGAGTGGAGCTCAAATTGCTGAAAGAATAAGCAGCTCTTTTTAAACAACTGTGCAAAGAGGAAAGGAGAGAGAAGGTTCTAACTATCTAACCATCTAACTGTGTAAACGAACAACCAGGAAAAGGATTCAAAAGAGGAGGAAGTCTCCAATGTGCCATTCAGGAGGCAGGAGAGAATCATTTGAAAATACTAGGAAGTCTTTAATCTGACTGTGCTAGCTACTTAACCCCTCCGATGCCCCCTGTAGGATATTCTTATCCTTCTTGCTTAATGCTACCCCAGATCTTGTATATTCTAACAATTTTAACCAGTTATGTATACAAGGTTACTCTGCATAGTTTACAAAGTAATTTTCTAGACATAAATTACCACTGCAGAGTCAACGTTGTGGGGCTATTAGAGTGTCAGATTAAGATCTGGCAGACCCAGGTTCGAATCCCCACTCTACCAAGGAAGCCTGCTGGGTGAGCTTGGGCTAGTCACATGCTCCCTGCCTAACCTACCTCACAAGGCTATTGTTAAAACAGAGAAACAAGCCACTTTGGTCCCTATTGGAGAAATTGGGGTATAAATGTAAAATAAAACCGTGTGCCTTTATGTATTGTGTGCCCAAGAGAATATATTACTAGGTAAATGTGGATCAGAGAACCAAGAACGGGCACTAGAGTTCCACCCACCCATTGGTTCTGACACAGTAGTGAGAAAGTGTCTTTGCATATGAAATCCAGAATACTTAGGATGCTGAATTCTATGAAACTGCCGGACACATGTACAGTAGAATTCTGGAATTGCATGGCTTCGGGCTTTGCTAGATAAATCCATTGTCAACAGATTAATCAGTGGCCATTGGCCATGATAGCAAAATGCAACTCCTTATAATGCCTCTGAACACTAGTTGCTGGGAGGAAAAAAACTGGGGAGTGGGGAACCTCCACATTCAGAGGCACTAAACCTTTGAATCCCAGAGCCAGGAGAAGAAAAGGGGGGGAAGGCCTCAGCCTCTATGCCCGGTTGTTGGCCATCCAGAGGAACTGGTTGGCCACTGTGTGAGACAGTATGCTGGACTAGACGGACCATTGGTCCAATCAAACCATTGAGCTTTTCTTATGTTCTTATAACAGACATTGGCTCCTGCATCCCTGCTTGTAGACTTTCTCTAGGGGCATCTAGCTGGTCATTGTGAGAAACAGGAGGCTCAGTGGTAAAGTATCTGCTTGGCAAGCAGAAGGTCCCAGATTCAATCCCCGGCACTTCCAGTTTAAAAAAAAAAAAAGACCAGGCAGTAGGTGATGTGAAAGACCTCTGCTTGAAATCTCTGAGGGTTTGAAGTCACCTTTAAAAAGATGATTTGGGATGCATTTGGTGCATATGTGGATCCCAAGGTTACTGTTTGTTCCTCTAATTTACCTTTAACAAAGAGTCGCAAAGAGTCGGATTCGACTGTGTGACTGAACAACAACAAACCTTTCCTGATGGATCTGCCTTGGTAGCTGAAAGAGTGCATCTGAGATTTTTAGAAAGTTAAATGGCCACCCTTCTCACCTGGGGAGTGTTTGTCCTTGGTCCAGACACCACCCTTCTCACTTTAGACAAGCCAGGTACCTGAAATTGGTTCAAAAACCACTGCGATTTTACTAGTGGGTGGATATCAGCCCTAATATGCATCTCTTGCAAAAAGAAAATATTGGGCTTCAGTTTAAGTAAATTAGTGCATACCCTTTTCACTTTGATTTTGTTATTTAATCCCCTAGCATTAAGGGAAAGTACTTCAAAGTCAGTTATCTAAGAATTGTTCCCCATATATTTGAATATCCTTGAGTAGATATTGTGTGGATAACGAATTTCTAGGTTTATTCAATCTTCCACGGACACAGTGGAAACTTTGCTACTGTGCCAATAAGTACACCAGTGAGACAAAATGTTTCTTCCCCCTCCTCCCTGATGCCATCACCCTTTTACTGGAAACAAAGTTATAATCAAGGTGACAGATTCTAGGTTTATTCAATCTTCCACGGACACAGTGGAAACTTTGCTACTGTGCCAATAAGTACACCAGTGAGACAAAATGTTTCTTCCCCCTCCTCCCTGATGCCATCACCCTTTTACTGGAAACAAAGTTATAATCAAGGTGACAGAAACTTGTTGTTATATTCTTCCCCTGTAAAATGATTAACATGTAGCCTAACAAGAAAAATAGTCTTAGGAAGCCTCTAGCTTTATACCAAGGTTGCACAGATGTAAAAAAACTCCAAACCAATCTCTATGGGAAACAACTGACTAAATGCAGAACTAGTGTTCAGAATATTTGACGTCCTCCCCTCCCTGCTCAACTGCAGCTTCTAACAGCCTATATTGATCATTTTTAAAAACCCATAAAAACAAACACAAAAAAGCCTCCTTAAGACCATAATCCTCTGACTCTATCCAGAGCCGTAAAAGCACTGCCTCGATTCTGGGACCCCATCAGTACACTGCCTTACATAAAATATAGTCCCCCCCCCCTCCCAGATGCCAAACAAAAATTTCATCAATCCTATTGCCCAAATCACGACTTGTTCAAGAAGACAACCTTAATCCCTTTTTCAAATTACATATCATATAACTAAGGAAAGAATAAGGAGAAAGTGCATCAGTATTAATGCTAGCTTTAATGTTATTGAGAATGTGTAATTGGTATTTTGCTCCATTTGTTTTCTTCCTTTGATGAAATCTTTGGAAGGGTCTGCTGGAGCCTCGATATTTAAAGCTTGGAGGAGACCTTGCCTGCTATCTAGATCTTGTAGCTACATAGGTCTTCTTTTGGTGATTAACGATGATACTACTTGTAGCAGACCAGACCAGACCAGGAAGTACTTCACCCAAAGAGTGACTAACACGTGGAATTCACTGCCACAGGAGGTGGTGGCAGCTACAGCATGGATGGCTTCAAGAGGGAATTAGATAAACACAAGGGGGGACCCGTGATACTCGCGGGGGGGGGGAGAAGAGCTCCATCTCCTCCATCCCTCCTCTCCCCGAGGAGGCGGCGGCGGCGAGGCCGGGCCTCCCCCCGGCCCC